TCACCGGTATCCACTGGTGTCTGCGCAGAAGTACAGCTGATTGCATTCTTAACGCTGTCCCTGGAAGGGAGGTGGCCATGTTACACCGGTATCCACTGGACGCTGTGCAGAAGTACAGCTGATTGCATTCTTAACGCTGTCCATGGAAGGGAGGTGGCCGCGTTACACCGGTATCCACTGGACGCTGTGCAGAAGTACAGCTGATTGCATTCTTAACACTGTTCCTGGAAGGGAGGTGGCCATGTTACACCGGTATCCACTGGACGCTGTGCAGAAGTACAGCTGATTGCATTCTTAACGCTATCTCTGGACGGGAGGTGGCCATGTTACACCGGTATCCACTGGACGCTGTGCAGAAGTCCGTCTAGCCTAGTCACTGCACTGACAGAGCCACAAAGCTCACAGTTTACCATAAATCCCTAATGTGATCTCCTTCCCACGACACCCAGGCTAATGAGCACTGCTGAGGCCACATGCGCGATAGGAAATGTGTGTGTGTGGGGGGGGGCGGTTATGGTACGTTTTCTTGATTGATGCGTAGGAAAAGTTCCGTTTGCACTGCCATTTCATGCAAATGAACTAATTCCATACAGTTTCTTATCATCACTACATGATTTCGTCTAGCGGACACCATCAGACTGCTCGTACATTTACTGTCAACTGGAATGCTATTGCCTTTACAAGTCTTCCTGGATGAAGCATGCGTATAATGAGGCCTGAGTTGATTTTAGTTTTCATTTCGGCCCAGTTTGTTAAAACTTTAATTTTAAGTTACTTGAATTCTTTATAAGTGTAACGAAGTACTCTTCATCAGGGTAAATAACTCGGAGAAGGCCCCAAAGTAATAACGAAATTTTGGGGAACCGTGTACTCCGCAACACTTGCCTGTTGGACGACTCACTGCCCGGTTCGCGCTGGCTGCAACATTCTTGTCGGCCTGTGTCTCCAGGCGGAGGGAACCCCCCTTTACCTCCGCAGTCCCCGAGCCATGCACTCGCCAGTTCTCGTTTTCATTGCGAAATTATTCCGTGATGTAAGTTTGTTATTTCGAGACCTTCTGCGGGTTATTTGCCCCGCAATATCATTTGTGACCCCTCTCGTCTGGGCGCGAAGACATGTATCGCCTCAGTCTCGGAGGGTAGGGTGCAAGGACCTCAGTACCGAAGATCTCTCTGTCTGGACTTTGGAGCGCCAAGCGTTAGTAAAGAATTTTGAAGGGAACGGTTGTGGGCTACTCCAAGTACGCAACACTACAGCCAAATATTTAAAATCTAAATTGGTGTGAAACAAAAGCCCACGCACCGCTGCTATCATGGTTGTGACCTCGTCCTTGAGCTGCTGGTCGTCCAGTCTCTTTCCGGTCAGCTCCAGCAAGTGGTCGATTAACACCTTCCTGGAGGTGCTGCCCTCTGTCAGCAGGAGAGACAGTGTCAGAGGACAGACACGCACTGGGTCTCTCTACCCGCTCTACCCGAAATCACAGCAGCCTCCACTTACCGTTCGACTTCAGACCATGTTCCAGCCTCTTCCTGCGCACGACCTGAAGCAGAGACAACGGAGTTGACAGTGGCGCTGCGCGCGGCGCGAGCTCAAAGCACGGCCGGCTAAGCCGACTACTGACCTCTGCCGCTCCAACACTTGATACATGGGTTTTACTTCGAAAGCATGTCCGCATTTTTCTGTTTCTCTTGTCGTGTGCTGCCAGGGTGTTCGCGAAGAGCCGATCCCCCGTGTGGGGGGTCATATGCAGTGTCCACACAAACCAGAATCCGAAACGCGGAAAACTGGAGGCCTTGGACTGCAGTGGTCTGTTGTGCCTGTGTTTATTTAAGCAGCATGGGGGAGTGGAGGCATAGCTCCAGGCATCCTTAACCTTGGCCTCACGCCCCGGCCGTGTTACCCCAGGGGATACGGTCTCCAGTAGAGTACCCACGGAATGCGAAGCTGTCCCGAATGGGTCTGGACACATATCTGCCTCTGCTGAGACTCGAACCCCGATCTACGTGTCGTCAGACCTCTAGCCTAGATGCTGTAGCGACTTCCTTCCTTAGGAGAGGAGTGCAAACTGACACTGATACAGCGGCTGCGTTTGAATGAGCACAGACGATAGGCCACGACCGCTTCCTTCCACAGCCTTTTATATTAAGCTGAGCAACTGACAGCGTGAGTAAAAAGTAAAGCTATCCCTGCAACAGACCGTGAAGGCCCATAGGGTTGTGAGATGTTGAGGGTCCCACATTAACTAGACAGTCGGCTCAAAGATGGCGGTGAAGTTGTCTGCCTTACGCGCCGGCCGCGCTTTACTCCCCAGGAAAATTATTTAATTAGTTCCTGGTACTCATTTCTGTTAGAGGCTGAGTCGACCCCAGCGCCATAGTGCGGCTGGAAGGATGAGTTCAACTGAAAACAATCCAATGACCTCATCGGGACTTGAACCCGCGACCTTCCGGCTTGTAGCATAGTGCCTCAACCAACTACGCTACCGCGTGACCCCAATTAAAATATGTTATGTTTGTTAATAACAAGTAGTCAGTAATAGTTAGAATTAATTATAAGTCTTGTTGTGTAAACACATGAGCATAATGATGGTCCTGTTCTTCTGCTGGTATGGAGAATATCTTGTGTAGTTGGCTGTATGCTCATCTGTGCGAAGTTGTTGTGTGTATTCTGGCAAAGTACGTCGCAGTCAACACTACTTATACTCGTATTAAAGACCCCCCCCCAAATTTCCTCGGATTAGCTACGGTTTACTGAATGGCTGATGGCTATTATGGGGACCCCCCCCCCAATCTGCATATCGACAGGACATAGAAAACATGTCACTGTCCGTATTGTTGTAGGCTTTGCCTAGCAACCGATTTTACTCGTCGTTGCTAAGCAATGAAGCTCGCGTTGTCACACTTGCTTGAATGTGGGCAGTTCCCACATCATGTTGTGGAGGAGCGACACTTGCAAGACCCAGCAAGAGATGGAAATTTCTAGTCTAAAGTGAGTGCGTGAAGATGGGAATGCATAGCCCCGCTGTGCGGTGTGGGTCTGAAACTTGGTCTGCCATAGTGGCGGGCGGACGTAGACTCAGGGTGAGGGAGGAGGTGACGAAGGGGTGGAGAGATCTCCTCCACGCCCATGCCATTAGGCTGATCGAACAAGGAGGAGGAGATGGGCGAGACTTGAAGCACGCATGACAGTCAGTAAAAGTCTTATGTACTTCAGCAGGCAAATCTGAATGTGAGAGAGCTCATGGAGCACACAGGGGTATATGGGAGGATAATATTAAAATTTGTTTTCAAGAATAACTGTGTGGGGGAGTGCGAACTGGATTCTCCTAGCATGGGATAGTGTCTAGTGGCGGGCTCTTGTGAATGCGGCAATGAACTTGCGGTTTCCACAAGAGGGGGCGAATTCTTTGGCCAGCTGAGCGACTGTCAGCTCTTCAACAAGGAGTCTGATCCATGCTAGCGGCTAGCTACTGTTTAACGTTGACAGCGAGACTGACGGACATCATGAAAATGGTGCCGTCCACAAGAGCCCGCTGGACGAGTCTCAAGGCGACTCGGCGGAAGTGGTATGATAATACTAAAGTGAATCTTCCATGTAGAAGTGGAGCAACTGGTTGAAGTTACGGCACTCACCGCACTGGTCATATACGATTACCAATCCAAACCCCGTCTAACATCACTCATTCACGTGACAAATGGAGTCAGTGGGATTAGATTGATGATTGCATTGTTTAGTTACATTGGCCACACTGAACCGCCCCCTTCCCCTTCTTCACTCAAAAGCTACTCATTACGAGAGCCGTGAAGAAGGAAGGAGCAGCCCATCGCCGCTGGCCCTGCTGCTGTGTTCGCACGCTTCCCCCCAGCTATGTGGTGGAGCTACAGTGATATGTTGGGCTCAGATAACAATATAGAAAATTTAATAACAAAATAAATAAAGTACAGACATAACAAAGAAACACATAATCCTGATAGAACACGGGGTACAACAATCTAATCTAGTTACAAATAGACACTCGTTGTATAGCCGCTGCACGGACTATATAGAGAACACCCTTCTTTTTGGGATCTAGTGTTTACAGGTTCATTGCCTAGCAATGGCCATGGCGCGGACCACATAGAAAACTCCTCTTCGGTTGTCAGAATTGTTATGTAACCTGTAGCAAGGTCCACAGAGAATATAGCTCCTGTTGTCGCGTGTTCACTGTAACATGTATATCGAACCGTTGCCTAGCAATGGTCATATTCGTCACACCATAATGAATAGTAGATTACATATGCTAGTGGACGCAGTCTACCTCTTGACGTGCATGGTTAAACACGTTAGGCTCAAATATTATAAAGTACAGGATTAGGGCAAGCCTTTCGGATCTACCACTTATGTAGCAAGCAGCCCCATGGAAAGGGCTCCTAATGTAACGGGGGCCCTGATGGGTCACGATAATGAATTTCAAGGAATGTAGGGAGATGGTGGGTTTGCCGCAGGATCCACACCTGTACACCCCTTCACTACCCGTCTTGCTCCGGAAATAGACAAAAAGGGAATTTTTCTTCGCAGTTCGTGGTTCCCCAGCAGTGAGCCAGTTGTGCTGCTCATGGCCACAAGTCCGACCATTAGACGGGCACCGTCGGCATTGCACGATAGCAAGGTCCTCGCTTGGTTTACATAGGCCCACTCTATTTGCAGTTATAAAACAATATACTATACATCTTAGTTAATATTTACAAATGTACTTGTATACAGATAATAGAAGACCTCTCTCAGGCCATGCTTTGCGAAATAGATCATTCATTGTCTTACCTATTTACTTGCTCACTGTAGGAGCCGGAATAGCTCAGTCGGTATAGAGACGGGCTACTGGCTGGACGGTCAAGGTTCTATTCTAGGCAGGAACAAGAGATTTTTCACTTCTCTGCAGAGACTCGACGTACTCTAGTGCCACCCAATTTCTTCCCTGGGGTAAAGCTGACGGGGTGTGGAGCTGATCACACACCTCCATCGAATGACGAGGTAGAGAATGGTGGAGCTATACCTCCAGCCCCACATACACCGTCATGGCGTCAACTTAACCTTTCTTTATTCTTTCCTAATTGCCACCTTCCACTTGAGATTATCACACGGGTTAGAACCCGGATCAGGTCATGTGGCATTTGTGATGGACAAAATGGCACTGGAGCAGGTTTTCTCCGAGTACTTCGGTTTCCCCTGCTAATCTTCAGTCCACCAATTGCTGCACAATCACCCTCACCTATCATCTGAGGCTGGTACGACAGGCCAGAAGTGGCCGCAGTAGCAAGTGGACTCAGCCTCGCCCCACTAAGATCAATAAAAATAAACAAATATTTAGCTGGAGGCTTTGTGGACGCTCTGTATGTAGTTTAATTTGTGTATTTTGAATTGTTTCATTTTGGTCCGTTACATTATCAATCACAAAGTTAATAGAGAGTCCGTCGAGTGTAACAATTTGTAGGTCACTTTTTTATTATTATTTTATTATTATTATTACACAAGGCTATAAAAACATTAGATGTAGTATTCCTACTGCAGTACACAGCACACAGCACACAGGAACATATCAAACCATAAGGTAAGCAAGAATCAAATACAACATTAAACAATATATATAATAATATATAAAATCCTAAGTGATATAATATCTTTGCAGCTATACAACCTCAAGCTGACGTCTCCCATCTTCGGGATGAATTAACAAGGAGGAGTTCAGCATTTTATATCAAATATTTTAACTTAAAAATAGGTTTGGATGAAAAGTGAGAACTTGAGAGTGTACTCAACTATCTTAGCATGTTTTGTGCTTTTACACGTCAACATATCGTAGCAGCGTCCACACGACAAACATAATTGTGAACATCAAAAAACAGCGACAGTGTTTCCATAATTATAGCAAGTTCCTCTGATGATGGTTGTGTCAAACCGAAACATGTAAGGTAGAAATAATAATAAAAAAGTGACCTACAAATTGTTACACTCGACGGACTCTCTATTAACTTTGTGTTTAATTTGTGTTTTTGCTGCACTTTCTATAGTGACCTGTGGGAGCACTCCTATGTTATTCCTCGCTGTATTTACATTCTCGCGGAATAAGTGCCCTTCCTGACTGCCTTACGTCACACAGGGACCCAGAAGGGCGCTCTGCCACGATGGACTTCCATCAGCTATGTGGCAACCCACTTGAAGTGGGAACTTCAGCAGCGGGTTATCTTATCTGCTCGGTATCTATTGCGGACAAACAAACACATAACAGAACAACAACAGAGTTGTGAAACAGCGACCTATTGCGCAGTGAATTTTCATACTCTCCTCAAGTTTTTTGCAGTGCTTGCTTGGACTTTGTCATCGTCGTTACCACGGTTGCCGTGTGGCGGTAACTGCGGTAATGGCTGTCACCTCACAAGTCCGCGCGCCCGCCACATTAGTGTTACTGGTTGTAAGAAAATTGAAGGTAGGAAGTTTAGGATCTTGTGGGATGTAACGCCGTGTAGACTACGTAAGCAAAGCAGGAGAGCATCAAAGACAGCCCTACTGGTCACCGCTGTACGACCCTCAAGTCCAGAGCAGAGCCAAAGAATTTGGGGTACCACCAAAGGAATAACTCTCGTTCGAAGATTTGTTAAAATGTGTTTCCGGCTCTCCAGCTGACGCACGTGAAATGAGCCCATGATAGCGACTATGTTACTTAACCCTCATATCCTACTACAGTCCCCTGAAGTGGTCCTCGATTTGGGCCAGCGACCGGCCTCGCGTCTCGGGCAGACACGCATACATGCAGGCGGTGCCGGCCAGCGCCATGGCGGTGTAGAACGTGAAGAGCCCGTGGTTGCCCCACAGGAGCTTCATCTCGGGATACAGCTTCAGGGTGACGAAGCTGAACAAGTAGGCCAAGCAGGTAGTGACTCCGCAAGCTGGGCCCCGTATTCTGGCGGGGAACACCTCTCCGATCATGGCCCAGGGTAGCGTGAGAAAGCCCACAGTGCTCGTCAGAATGTAGAGCACAAGGGACGTGATCGGCCACCATCCGTACATACCGCGGCTCACGGTGCCGTCATGGGCCAGCGTGAGGTACAGGGCCAGCGCCCATATGGACAGCGTCATGCCCAGCCCAGACGCGTTGCACAGAGCTCTGCGTCCGCACCGTCTGGACGCGACGCTGATGGCCACGGTTGTAGCCAAGCGGCTCACTCCTATGAGCACTGTTGCCAGGTAGCCGTCCAAGTGTGACCCCGTCTCCTGCACTATGCTGACGGCATAGAACACGACGACGAAAATTCCAGAGAACTGCTGGAAGAAGAAGAACGCGTTCATGACGAGAAGCGGCTTGTAGGCCTCGGGTCTCTTCAGGAAGCCGAGCGTGTCCTTCCAGCTGTCCTGTTGGTCCTCGCGCGCCAACGCGACGTCCAACTCCTGCTGCAAGCTCTCCGAGAGGCTGGTATCCTCGGGTACGCTTCGAATTAGTCTCATGGAGGTTTGTGCTTCCTCAATCCTGCCCCGCGACACGAGCCACACAGGACTCTCGGGCAGCAGGAACCACGTCGCGATGACAGAGGCGACGGGAAAGCAAGTGGTGATGCCTGCGACCAGGCGCCAGTTGTCCGGAAAGAGGTACCCAATGACGTAGACCAACAGGATGCCGAGGGAGATTCCTGGAACAAAAGAGGCTGTTACGTCGGCGCATTGAAACCGGCCAGTTGTGGCACCAGACGGTGGCGCACTCACCCACTGACGACCACGTGACCATCATGCCTCGGAGCGACTTGTCTGCCACTTCGCTGACGTACACGGTAGCGGGCGAGCTGGACATGCCTGTGGCGACCCCTGTCAGGAGTCGACCCGCGTACACCTGGTACAGGAGCCAGGGCTCGCTGTGGAGTGCCGTAGCGATTAGGATCCAGCCAACAACTGCGGGCGCGTTGACCAGCATCAGAGTGCGTCTGCGCCCCAGGCAGTCCAGGAGCACCCCTGTCAGGAGGCACCCAATGGGTGTGGCGATGGTAGATAGGGACGCTTTAAAACGAGCAGAGAGTCAGTGGTGTTCGAACAATTTGAGTATATGCCCAGTGGCGTGCAACACTCACCTATCCAAGAAGCCTGCTCCTCCGACACGCGATCTGCCGTCTGCATGGCTGGGAGCGTCACGGCGGAGTACCCGAGCGTCATGCCCGCTGTGACGGTCGCCAACGTGGCCACGGCGCCGACTATGAATTGCTGTAAGAAGCAAAGAGCCGATGCAGCGTCCGATGGCTGGAGGCCCAGTGGTGGACTAGGAAGGAAGTGGCCATGGCGTATTTCAAACCCAGGCATTATCCTGGAGGGACTAGAGAAAACTACGGGAAGTCTCGGATGAGGTAGTCGGTGTGACGACTGCGATTACAGACGGACGGGTACAAACCAAGGGTTGAGATTGGTGGGACATACAGCACGCATGGGAGAGATGACACATGACAAAGTAATCTGAGTTCTATTTCTGCCAGAAAGGAGATTTCTTCGTTCGACACAGCGTCTATCCCGTCTGTGGGGTGCCGGGGATAAAGCGGCCGGGGCTTGAAGGTGATCAGTCACTGAATGTAGTGCCCAGTTTACGAATGCGCGCATGTTCTCGTCAACTGATTAGGCCTTTGCAGTCTGCTGCGTTGAGCCCTAGAATTGTGTTCAGGACACCAGCTGCCTCGAGGTGCTACTCAGTGTATCAAAGCAAGTACCAGGGATATGTCAGGCAGGCCATGCCACTTCCTTTCAAATCCTTTCCAATTCATGACACTCGACGAGCCAGAACGCTATTCTCGGAAGCACATGAACCTACGTGCCTGGTAGAACTTCGCCGACACTTCACAAGAACTTATTTGCTTAATCCTCAGGATAGAAAACCAACTTGCTTCTTACTGGTTGCTTATTTGACTTTCTCCGCCATCCTGAAGATGGAGACAGTAGATCTACATTCCTTCTGTCGGTCTATACGGCGTCACAGTCTTCTTGAATAGCAATTGCATAGGAATCGGATGAGACAGCCAACAAGGGAGCCACTCGCTGTTCCTCTTGCTCTGGGGAGCATATAGTAACCACTGGGCTTTAAGGGGTTAAACTGAACTGATAGTTCGGGTAACTATCCTGGGTTTTAGTGCTTTCGCAACGAAAAGTTCCAAGAATTCACCTCTGCTTTGCCGTAACAACTCGAGAACTGTTGAGCAGGCTTGCAGGAAAACTGATACTGAGGCAGTTTTACCAACCTTTGTCTACATATTCACATTTTGGTTCAAATCGAACGGCAGTGACGGAATGTACACTTTTGTTGTGTCCGCTTGTGTCGCAGTGAAGGAGAAGTCCTGTAGAGACGCATTGAAACACGTCTGTTCTTAACGTTTCGAGGCAGTTAACCCTTTCAAGACTTACGTCAAAGTCGGAATTACTTTAGGCCAATCACTTCGTCATGGCGTCAAGCCCCTGGAGATCCACGACCAGAGATTTTTTCAGCTGAAACCCTGCGATAATAGTTCTTATGTAACATCCTCTCTGGCGAGAGATGATATTTAAAGGCTTCATTTCTTCTAAGTAATATAAGAATTCAGTCCGTACCTCACAGGAAACACATCACTTCTCCGCTACAAAGCCCAACCGGTTAATGCTGTTAGGGAAACAGTCGCTGTTTATTGTGAGAACCATACGGAACACACAGATAGACATTTGGACAGAGTTTTATTATGTTAAAGCAACTGGTACATATAGTAACCACTGGTCTTGAAAGGGTTAAACTGAACTGAGCCAAGCGACCAGATCTGTTATTCTGCGCGTTCATTTCCTAGTTACGTGGTTGTGAATAAGGCGTACCATAAGCACAGAGAACATTTCACTGCAAATAAGAAAGCTTGGTTGGCAAAGTAGCAGGCAGATTACCCTGGTGGTAACGACTTTCGCAGATGTTCCAGAGATAACCAGTTCGAATCTGAACTGGGGCTGACTATCCTAAAGCAGTGATTTCGTGGGATTTCTCACTGCCTTGATCATGTGAGGACCGCTTCCTCCCCAATCCGTTCCGACGGCGTCAGCGCATCGCATAACCGTATACTCTGAGCAAATAATTCGCGTTTCTTAAATAACCAAGAACATTCATAAGAATCGCACTGAGCAGGTTGGCATAGCGGCAATGGATTTGGTAGGTGCTCGGTTCGACTCTCGGCCGGGACAGAGACTACACTGACTGAGATTTTTTCATGGTCTTTCCCAGTCCCTCGAGGCGAATTCCGGAATGCCGTCCCGATTAGGCCGCGATGGATTGCTTGCAAATTCCTACCGATTAACCATCACCGACCACGCCACCATCCGGCGCTGTATCGCCTAGCATCACAAGAAAGTAAAGAACGCCTCACTCACCCTGCGATGGGACATGCTGAGTGCTGGACAGGTAAAGATACACTAGAGGTGAGGCAGTCCTGTGGAGGGACACATTGCCGGTATCTTATCGCGGTCCGCCCTCCCTGCGGAGGGAGTGACGTGCCGTGTGAGGCGTTCTTTACTCCACGGTCCTGGGAGCGAGGTGTGGGTGGCATTGACTGCAGCTGGCCGGAGTCCACAGATGGAATTTTGTGCGCGGTGTGGGTGTGGGGGCGGCCGCTCAGTCGGCAAAGTAAACGGTTTACTCCCGCGTTCGCTGAACCCGCTCGGTTACGCTATGTCGCGCCACGATCTAGTTCTGCCTCGCTGTACTGGTTCATTGTGTTCCTTTGGGTACACCGTACTGCAAGTGGGCAACCTTCTGCCCAACATGACCTCCGATATGGCGATGTTGAGTCCTCTTTCATATTTAAAGCAGAATCCAGTAACTTTCTAGATGACGACGTAACGATTTACGTCATTGTCTGATATGACGCAACCTCAGAGAATCTTCACACATAAATCATTAATATCTGTCGTCGAATTATGGGTTCCGGCAAAGGAGAAGGGAAGTTAGGTATCTACCCCAGCCCGTTGAAGCCGAAGAATTCCAACTGCTTATGAACGTGGCGCCACTGCGGTCGGAGCGTGTAATACAAAGCCGCATGAACGTGAGTCTGGTTCCTCGTCCGTAGGAAACAAAATGGCGGCACTCATGGGTGCAGTGCGGATCGGATTGCGGGGGAAGAGATGTTTGCTTATGAAACAGGTACCGCTAAGCTGCCCTGCAGTTAAGTCTGATATAAGTGATCTATGCCCAAACCGACAGACTAAGCCGAGATGACAGCAAGTTTTGGAAGGGGCCTAGAAGTTCCCTAAGCATGTCCTTGCAAACCTCCGTTCGTCGAAGAGCAAACACTTCTCTGCTCACGAGATAAACTCTGTGGAACTTAGCCCGGAAAGTAGACTTGGTTGCCATGAAGCCCTGACCATCTCATGTCGTAGGCTTCGGGACTCCCTGAAGCTTCAAGCACCACTGCTTTGTTTCCCACAGGACCGATCTGTTCAGCGGAAGGTCATGTGGCTGCAGGATCGCCTGTAAAGACATAACATGTCTTGCAAACAAGGAAACAACGGGTGTTCCTTAGGCACATTCCGGCTTTCCGCACTTAAGTAACGCATTACAACCTCAAGGCCAGGAAAAGTGCTTATTTCAATTTGTCGGAATACGCTCGTGAACCAGATAAAACTTACAAAATACAGGACCTGCACTCTAATGTCACATTACATACAGTGTCACATAAAGCGAAAACAATAATTTATAACCCTGTGGCAGTACCCATTATGATAAGTGTTTCTGATATATACGCACACACCGAGCGTTCATTGTGCAGGCTTATTGGACGTCCAGGGAGCTTTCAGAACGTTGTGTCGGAGGACATTACGGGATTCCCCGGCAAACTGAAGGTCATTCATTCGGTGCTCACCTGATCAGTGAGTCAGTGTTACACCATCGAATGTAACAGAAGTTTCTTTCTATTCTGCTCTGTCCTGTGTATTTGTGGCTCGTGTGAGATACAATTTAGGGCAAAGAATTTTCATTTATGATTGTTATTTGAAAAGAAACTCATACAAATCGTGCAGGAGAAAATTTCGCCATATATTTCCCGACATGGCATGTCCGTCTGGAGATGCAATTTCCAAATTAGTGAAGAAAGTTCGAACCAACGGTATTGTAATTGACAGCCGTTAAAAAGAAATCGTGTTCTAACTGAGGAAGAACTTGACGACATCGGTCATGGATTAGAAAATTCTCCTCGAAAATCTTGGCGGGATTAGCACAAGGCAGCGGTGCTTCAGTAGGCAGTGCCTGGACAGCAACTGAACGGGTGCATAACCGCCCTATAAAATTACCGATGTTCCTGGAATAAACTTGTGCATTGTGAAAAAGAGAGTGAGGTTTTGTAATTTTTCATAGATGAGTCTAATTTTAATCTCTCGGGATATGTTAATTCACAAAACCGCAGGTACCGGAGCAGTGAAACCTAATTCAACTTCCCCTTTACGACCAAGAAACAGGCAATGGTGTGCGATTAGCACAAACCGTATCATTGGACCGACATTTTGTGAAGGAACCGTTGGTGCTGAACAATACAGCAACGAAATACCCAATCCATTTTACGTTAATTTGGCTCTTGCAGAAGAAAGATTCAGTTATTTTATGCAACACACACAGCTAAGGAAACCATCCGAGCATTACGCGGTGAGTTTGGAGAATTAAATGGGGACGATAGAATTATTAGGAAGGGTTTGTGGCCCCCTAAACCCTGTGATTTTTATTTGTGTATGCCAACAATCCACATGACCTGGAGGCTCTAAAATAGAAACATTCAGCAACAAGGTTCCCGAAATCTGTTTAAAATAATTCAGACATGTTTCACAGCAGAGGGCAGACATTTTGAACATATTGTGATGATGAATACAATGGTAATTACTATACTTCATTAATAATTAAGGAATGAAGTAAACAGCGCGCACTAGGTGCACCGAGCGCGCGGCAGTGGCCCATCGCTTTAGCAGGAAGTTGTCCAATCAGCCCGCGCTATGAAAACGGTGTACACGTAATCTTGAGTCTAGCTCTTTCTAACGCGCCAAATTTAGTAGGTGTACCCTGCCCCATCCACCTAAGGACGGAGACATATCCAGTCTCCGAAACGTTGTGGTTTTTTGTCTTATATATACCAGACGATGGATAAAGTCCAAAGTAAGCCTTATAGTTCTGTACAGCATGCACCATCGTCAGAATCTTTTGAGGTCTACACGTTCCATCTGGAACTTCCGGACCCGGCAGCGCAACAACCAAGGCACACGCAGTAGGGAGGAGCCGATCAGGTAGAGAATCTCTCCAAGTTTGTTTCGGTAATACGCGCTATGGCGTACTTGCAGATTTCACCGCTAGGGGGCAGTCGTGACGAAACATGGCGAGGACAGGGTAATAAGAACGGGTTCTGTGTCCCGGAATTTGCCAAAACTGAGTCAATTGTGATGGTGCAGCGGCAGTTTCAGACCAAATACCTCACAGAACCACCTACGGACAAAATAGTTCGTGAGTGGTACAAGAAATTCCAACAGAGCGGCTGCCTGTTCACTGCGAAACGAACAGGCCGGCCAGGGCTCCGTGTTGTGCTCGCCATTTTCCTGCACGTGTGGCATTAGCCATGGTTGCAGTATGTCCAGGCAGTTGATGCCGGTAACAGTTGCTTAAGAGACAAGATTCAGTGAATCACGTGAGTACACTGGCAGTTCCTATCTGCATGTAATCGCGCATCAGCTGACGAAGGTTCAGTGCCATTACGGTTTGGTACGATTATGTAAGAGTTCTTGAACTTTGAGGGCTCGTCAGTGGACAACTTTGGGTGGGGAGAGGGGGAAATTCCTGAGAGTTCAACAGCAACTCGGGTTCCTATTGTCTGCTGGAAATAGAATTCTGTAACTAATTATGACGTCACTATTACGTCACTGTATGAGGATGACGCGCACTCAGAGGCATTTAGACACAGTCTTAAAATCCTAGCCGCCACATTCACATGGCTGCTATCGAAAGGCTCCGTCCTGCTTTATCTTTAGGAAGTTCCTGTTTCAGCTCCTCGACCGTGGCCGTCTACCTATTCCTGAGGTTCCTCGTGGTTTCCTCGAACCTTTTCAGCCAAACGAGAGGATACTGATTATACCTCAGTTTAAGCCACAACCGTCTGCCTGCCTATGCGAGGGAGAGTCAGTAAAGAGGTCACAAATGGATATAAGAAGTAAAACATTTGATGTTTGAATCTGGGAAAACGTTCATTTTCATGGAATACCCCCCATAAACACTTATACACTTGTCCCGTCGCTTTACCAGTGCGCCGAAACCCACAGCATAGAAGTCTTCAGACTGTTGTCTCAGCCACTTCCGCACTTGGCCGGACATCATTTCCGAATTTCTAACGTCCTTGAGAGAATTTCTCGACCCAGTTGTGAACCGCTCAACGCGGCAAACACTTCCCACCGTAAGCAGGAAACATTTCATTATTAATATCTTTTGCATCGAGTCGTTTTACCCACAAAAAACACACAACAGAATGCTGATCTTCGGTATTATACCCTCAAGCACGGTCGCCATGTTGACTACTGAAACCAGCCGTTGCACAAGCACATGCGCATCTGGTACCTAGATTGTCATGAAACTGGACTGTGCCGCTACCTAGTGATACA